TAAATATACTTTCTACAGTACCAGCTAAAGTTAAACTTAAATTTAATTTTGATACTCCTCCAATTGTCAATTACCCATCTAGTATTTGATGGTGGATTACCATTAAGTTAACTCTTTACCATTAAGTTCAAGTCTCTTGTAAAAAAAGGGTCTTTACCAGGTCTATACGCCATAATTGCCAGAAGGGTTGAAATTTTCATGTAAACTGAAACTTATCTTGCCTTATCTTAGCCTGCAGCCATATCACCCTGCAACTCACAACTGGCAGCCCACTGAAGCTAAACAGGTGTGAGCCTGGTCAGTACCTGGATGGGAGACCTCCTAGAAAAATCTAAGGTTGCTGCTGGAAGAGGTGTTAGTGGGGCCAGCAGGGAGCACTCACCCCGTGGTCCATGTGGGTCCTAATGCCCCAGTATAGTGATGGGGACACTATACTGTAAATAAGCGCTGTCCTTCGGATGAGACGTAAAACCGAGGTCCTGACTCTCAGTGGTCATTAAAAATCCCAGGGCGTTTCTCGAAAAGAGTAGGGGTGTAATCCTGGCATCCTGGCCAAATTTCCCATTGGCCTACCAATCATGGCCTCCTAATAATCCCCATCTATGAATTGGCTTAATTACTCTGCTCTCCTCCCCACTGATAGCTGATGTGTGGTGAGTGTTCTGGCACATTATGGCTGCCGTCGCATCATCCAGGTGGATGCTGCACATTGGTGGTGGTGGAGGGGAGTCCCCATTACCTGTAAAGCGCTTTGAGTGGAGCGTCCAGAAAAGCGCTATATAAGTGTAAACAATTATTATTATTATCTTAGCTGTCCTATGAGGGGTCTGATAGCTCAATACCTTTAGAGATAAATTATTTATCCCAAATGTTTATAGTCTTGTAGTGTAAAATGTTTAGCATTGTAGTGTAAACCCCTTTTTTTTCAAGGGTAACCTGATAATAGGTGAGACAGTTATCAGTTTCATTACAATTAAAATTTAATTGGAAAAGACTTGGGTGGCCTGGTGTTCTGCAGCCTTGAAGTGCTTGGAATACTGGGACGACTTCTGCAGGGAGTTGGCATATTTTCCACTGCTCATGTTGGCTGGGTTGGAGGTTTCTCTGTTTGCCATCTTTCACCTCATAGAGTCAATGATACTGTCAGGGTTGCCATGATTAAGTGGCTTACTGATTATGAATGGAAAAGGCTTTTTCACAGCTGTATTTTACAAACTGTGGAGTTTGTAAAATACAATTACTTTTGTTTTGCAGTCACATTAATATGATTTTTCCATACCAATAGGAGAGAAAAAAATCTTCTTTAAGGGAAGACATGTTTTTAGCATAGGATTGTCTTCAAATCTTATAAAAGCTACCAAGACAGAAGAACACTTCAGTTTTTTTAAATAAGGCGTTATTTCCTGAAGTCTACACACATGCAAAGCTTAAAGATCTAAAATACTTTTTTTAAAAAATTTGAGAACACTGCTTCATGTCTCAATAGAAACAAGGTAAAATAAGAAATAAATGATCATATCTCTCCACCTTCTGGCTGAAAGTGGAAACAGTAACTTATCGTTTTCTATACAATGAATGTGAACATTCATCATTCAATTAAAAAAATACTTTAATCACCCCCTAAGGTGGCAATTTAAGCAGCAAGAAGTGCAACATACACCACATTCCAAATAAAATTGGTAAAAACATGGAATCACAAAAATTGAGAAAAAAACAGCAAACAGGTCCATAAAATTATTATGAAAGTAACATAGTGTATATACATTGTAACGACTCTGTCCTATACTAAAAAATAAAATGATAATCAAGCCATTAGACATTTAAGAAAATATTAAAGTACCTGTACATTTGCAGAGGGGAATCTATCTAATAGAGATCGTATTAATATAACTTTCTTTACACTTTACACTTAAATTTTCTTCTATTTGACTTACACTGTGGACAGCGAAAACATTGTCCTGAAGACAAGAGGTCCAAAGACTGATGCAGGATATAAGTGTCAGGAACAGTTCTTTCCAGGCCCTATGCGGACGACACGATCCGAAAGGTGAAGAAACAATAGGGAAAAATATCATGCTGGAGTCGGTCAGGAGACAGGGGGGCGTGTCCATGCTGGTGTCCGGGGGGAGTGAATCCGGGGCGAACAATCCAAGGGTAAATCCAGAGGGGGAATCCAAGACAGGAGGTTTAGTCCTAGACCAGGGAATCCATCCGAAGTTAAAACCAGAACCGGGTTGGGACCAGCGAGGCTTGGAATCAGGAACAGGAAACTAAAACCATAACAGAGCCAGACGCAGCAGGACCCCGGGATCTCACGATGCGGAAATCAATGAGAAGCCCCGAGCAATCGCCTGCGTCTGGCTTTAAAGGTAGAACTAAAGAGAGTCTGGACTAAGAAACAGGTGTGGGGAATGGGACAGAACGAGGAAGGGCTGAAGCGCCCTTAAGAGGAGGAGTAACAATCGTGACAATAAGATGAGCTGAATCTTCAATGATGGCATAGGCCTTCCTCAGGATCTCAGGGACACAAAGCTGAGCAAGGGGTCTTAAAGATTCTCCAATGATTTTAGAGCTGAGGTTCACAACATTTTGACTGAGTAATGTGAACCAAAACATACAGTAAGAGAAAAAATAAAATTACTTTCAATAAAAAGCATCAAAATACAGATTTTTGGGGGGGATTCCAAAGGAACTAATTTTTCTGAAACATTTGTATCTATGTATTATAACAATCTTCTTGGATTTCTTTACAATTATATAAGTGTTGACAGTGAATGTAAATGTATCATCAAACACAGTGCCCAGGTATTTGTAACTGTGAACTATACCAATCACGTAATAATGCTGATTAACAGAATCCCCTCCAGCAAGGATTACCACAGAGGTGTTAGTGGGGCCAGCAGGGGACACTCACCCTGCGGTCCATGTGGGTCCTAATGCCCCAGTATAGTGATGGGGACACTATACTGTAAATAGGCGCCGTCCTTCAGATGAGACGTAAAAACAAGGTCCTGACTCTCTGTGGTCATTAAAAATCCCAGGGTGTTTTTCGAAAAGAGTAGGGGTGTAACCCCGGCATCCTGGCCAATTTTCCCATTGGCCCTTACCAATCACGGCCTCCTAATAATCCCCATCTATGAATTGGCTTTATTACACTGAGAGCTGGTGTGTGGTGAGCGTTCTGGCGCACTATGGCTGCCATCGCATTATCCAGGTGCATGCTGCACATTGGTGATGGTGGAGGGGAGTCCCCATTACCTGTAAAGTGCTTTAAATGGAGTGTCCAGAAAAGTGCTATATAAGTGTAAGCAATTATTATTGTTATTAAATCTGAGTGATTAGGGACCTATGTTTTCAATCTGTTGAATCTAGGAGAGCACACAATTTAAAGTTACTAGTAATTAAACATTTTACTTTTGAAGTGCAGCAGATTAATAGCTTCTCAATTTAACTAATTCACCTAAATAATAACTATATCACTGATTACTCATCAAATGTTTAGTTGATTAGCTTGTTTTAGGGTGAAATGCTTCTTTCTGTCTCTGGGGGTCATGTGGAATCTGTATCTTTCAATGGGAGATCTTAACATTTTCTATTCTGAAAGCCCATTTCACATACACCCAATTAAACAGGAAATTAAATTACATACTATTATATATAATGTATCTATGTATTATAGATCACTAAAGGCATAATCACAACTTAAAATCTTAGTTTTAAGATTAACAAAGTATCTGTTAATGTTAATTAAGGTTAAATAGCACACAAATATTATTGCAGGCCTGTGGTTATTTCTGTAGTGTAGAACATTTGACCTTACTGTGATTATTTTTACAGACTGTATCATTAAATTATTATATGTTCCTTAAATCGAAGCAGAATTGTTTTATTGTGGTTGGAAAAACTGGAGATGTTGTATTGCTGTTTTAAATACAGAATACAATCATAATCAGGCATTAGGTTTCTGATATCATACTTTCAAAAAATGGCTAAATGTTTTCAGGGTGCTGCTATGGCAATGATGGGGTGCTTTGTGACCCTTGACACTGACCTTTGCTCCGCTCTAACCGGGGAACAGGTTATCATGTTAAATAACTGTTACTTGGGAAATGCCATTAAGCTAATGAAACATCTAAGCGGGTAAAAGGATTTGGCTTGTTGCAGCTACATAGAGAAAAGAAAAGTATTACTGTAGTCCAATATCTCTCTACAAAGCCTATAACGTCGACTCTAAGGTAGAGTACAAGCGCTTTGTGTATTTTGGCCCTAACAGCTGCTGTGAACATGACTGAATATTCAAAAGTATGTGGCTGGAGAACAGGAAGAGCACACATTAATTATTCTCTCGCTGAATAAATCGTGTTACATTTTAATTATTATCCTATATAGATAATCTGTTCTTAAAATACGCAAAAGAGTGAAAACCCACATATGAGTACACAAATGATCAACAACAAGAAAAGCAGTGCCCCTTTCTAATAGTAACTGTGGGAAAAATGAGATGAACAAAGAAAGTTACAGGCGAGGAATATTATTATATTATTATTTTTTACGGTGATATATTTTTGGGGAGTTAAGAATTTTTTTTTTAAAGTGACGCAAATTGTAGCAATGCAATAAATGTATGTAATGATATCCAAAAGAATAAGCAGTTTATCTACAGCCCGTGGATATCTGAAAACGTGATGTAGTGTAAGAATAACGATACAAATAGCTTCAAAACAAAGTCAGATATTGTATATTATAATTGTAACTACAAATCATGTGACACGTATCCCGAAATGACCTTATGCAACGGAATCTTCAGAAAATAAGACTTTTTAGAACTTTTAACTTAACATCACAATCAGTTTTTACATTAATTACTTATGCATATATACATGACCTACACAGCATGTTTAAGATATATCACCATATGCATTGCCTTTTACAGACCTTTGATGAGTAGTATAGAGAGACCATCTAAACACACCGATGGAGGCTTGTTGTAACCTGTGTCACAGGGCCTTGACGTCAGAGCGGCAGGACACAGGTCGGCTCGGCGCTGAAACGTTGCTCAGCTTGCAGAGGGGGGAGCGGTCTAAACAAGTCAATTATTTTGCTAACTGTTGGCTTGCAAAAAAAAGGTGACATTCGGTAGACGTGATTGATAGTTATCATAGTATTTGTTAGTCTGGGATTTTTAAATGATATACAATACACATTAACTTAGTGTAAGTAGAAGTGATGGACAAAACAGATTTACTAAGTACCGGTTTCGGAGCGCTTATTGCTCCCGTGTAAGGCACTTGTCTAGGGTTAGTAGAGCTGTAGGTAAGGTTATAGTTGGAGGTATCAGATAGTTTTTTAGAAGTCTGCAATCTGTAAAAAAAGAAATTAGCCAGGAATCCGGTTATCCTTCTCCCCGAATGTCATGGAGGAAGCGGTAAGCGCAGGCCCTTCAAACAATGAGCCGTATGGAGAGGCAGACAAAGGACCGCAGAGCTCCGGTGACAAGCGGAATCCTGCCGGCTGCAGGAAGCAAATTGACAGCGCTGATCGCGGAGGGTTGCGAACAGGGCCTGGCGATTCTGCCAGTCAGGATGCGATTCGGAATACGCCGGACCTGAGGGTTAGTGCTGCAGTTTTGACCGAGAGTTCGGAGCCCGTGATCCCTGCAGTTTTGACTTATGTTCCCGCAGATGAATCTGGAAATGGGAAAGGATGCAGGATAGCTGCTGAAAAGAAACAGACTTTAAGTAAGTTAAACACTTCTGTAAAAAACCTACTAGGACTCAATCAGAAAGTTTTAGAAACTCCCGAGAGAGGGATTGCAACTCCTGATGTTTATTCTAAAAACAAAGAAAATGGGAATACTGATGACATGGAGCGAGAGGCTTTACAAAATGCGATTGAGTTGGATTTAAACAGAACTGCATCAACCCAGCACCATGCTTATAGTACAGCATGTAAAGCTTTAAAAAAATCACAACTATCGCATGACACCACCAGCAAACTGGATGTGTACGACAATTCAATCAAAAGCTTTGAAACTCAAGGTGGGTTTGATTTTCAGTACCCTTCTTTGGCTGATAAAAGCAACGTCGTGTGTCGTCACTCTGAATCTGGCAACAATACGCACCAACCGAGCTGTAGCAGCATTAAGGATCAAACGGATATTATTACTGTAGAGGCTTGCAACTTTTATAAATTATTTGGTGCCGGGGGGCATAGCGAAATTAAGAACAAATCAGACGATTGTTTAATATCTGAAAGATTAAATTTGCACAAGCTGCCCTCGGAGAAAACAAATGGGGGTTTGCACCAAGAGCCCTTGAGTTTACCCGATGCACAGCTTACTGGTAATGAGGGTCGTCTGAGTACTGATGGACTCAGCAACGGGACTTCTGTTGCAGCATCGCTGGAAGATGAGGTGTCTGAGTGCAGTAAGGACGGTAGCCTGGCAGGAGAAGAAGGAGCCGAAATATCTGAAGAAAGGCGGTCCTTGCCTGAGGTTTGCTCAGCAAGTTCTTTCAGCGAGCAGGACGATCTCAGTTATGAGTTACAACAAGTTTATAGAATATTGAATGGCTTTATGTTGGAAAAGCACAAAGGCATCACGGCTCCCTTCATGAACCCCGTGAGCGCATCACAGTACGAGGATTATGACCGTCGTGTCCAGCAGCCTATGTGGTTGAGAAGGATGGAAGAGAAGTTCATCAACAGGGAGTATGAAACTATCACCGAGTTTGTGAGCGACTTCAGGTTGATGCTGGAAAACTGCTACAGGTTTCATGGGGTTGACCACTGGCTTTCTAAGCAGGCACAGAAGCTAGAAATGATGCTGGAGCAAAAGCTGACATTGTTGTCCAGGTAAGATCTGTGATTGGTTACAGTTGTTGTTTGTAACATATTCAGTAATTGTTAACCAGCCCTAAAACATCATTTTTGATGTTGAGGAAAAAAATATGAAATATTTTTTGTCCATTATTAGGGGTTTTCCAACTCTTTCTTGATCACATTCAAATTAGATGTCCATTGCATGGTAATTTTATCACTTTTATAGTTTACTATCTGCAGTTTTGGACAAATCAAGTCTTTAATTGAGGGCATTAAATGGAACCGATGCTATTGGTTCCAAATACTTTTTTGTTGGCTTATTAATGTTACTCAATATATATTTTTGACTTCACATGTAATACACTTATTGCATCATACTTGACACATAATCTTTATAAAAACAAGGTAGAAGGATCTCGTGCTGACCTATGGAAGGTCTACACAGTGTGAATCTGATGTTTTCTTTTCATACCGTGTATACTGTACCACTTCTCCTTCCCATTAGTTCTTATTAACGTAATTGGATTTCAGTTGCTTAATCATGAGGAAAACATGTTTTTCAAATAGCTGCTTATTAAACATTTAAGAGATCCTATAATACCTGTAGGTCTGGCTCTCCAGGACCAGGGTTGCAGACCCCTGATCTTAAGTACAGTATTATTATAACAGGACAGTTGGTTGTGCCAAGCACTATGTAATATGTATGTAATTTAATGTGTTTGGATGATTAGGCCATGCACTACTGTTTGTGCAGTGATGTTTCAAATAGGAGTACAACGTTGTTGACTTTTTACTGTGCTGTAGCAGTAGAGAGCCACTAAATGGATTGTGCAGTGCATGTTTGCTTTCACCTTTGCCTCTTTCATGTTGCACCCAACCTTTAAATTTTCATTTATGCAAGGTATTCAACAGGTTGTCTAGAGAAATGGACCCCCATTCTAATCCTGAGGGACAAGTTTGTCTGTAAAGTTCCAGTCCAGCTGGGCTCTTAACCTTTCCAGTCCAATTAAGCAAAATAATCTGACCAGTTTAACAGCACTGCCGGCTCTTTAGGTGCTAGTGCTTTAAATAGACCTGGAAAGTCTACTGACACCCTAGGCCCCCAGGAGAAGGATTGGGAACCCTTGATTCGGAGCGCAGCTGAATACCTTTGTAAAGGTGATGGCAGGCAGGAAAAGGAGAAAGGGTGAGCATAAAAGTACATAAAACTGGTTGTTAGTATGTTGACTTTAGATGGTTGGTCCCTAATACAAATTGTAAGGGTAATGAGAGAAAGGAGTTCCAACGTTAACTTTAAAACTGAGAAAGTTCTTAGCAAGAAATTTATACCAGTTTTGCTGAATATATCATAAAAAAACAGTGTAATGGACAAGAAATGTAAAATAAATTGACACATAACTCATACTATAGAATAGTGCTTCAAATATAAGTAATTTTCACTTCGCTAAATCTAGTGATGTGATGACCCCAAAATATGTATGGATGCTTCAAGAATAATATCTAACTATTTCCTAGTTTGAAAGCAGGAACAATGCTTCTATGTGATTCTGTCTGGGGAGAGAGTATAAATTTACCTTTAGCACATCTCATATAACCCATCCAACCCATCCTTTCTTCTGTGAATTGCTGAGGCATGCAGGAGTAGTATTAGTTGATCTCATAAGAAATACTTTGCATTTTTGTCATCTGTAGTTTTTGAGATGGGAACCTGCTCATGAGGTCCATACAGTTTCCTTACTCTGAGCTTTCAGCACCTTGTGTTAACTGTCACCAGACTGAGAGCTCCAGCTCTGTACTATCTCAGGGTTAGTCTCTGCTTTGGGACCTTTTCCCTGACTAGTGATTGTGCCAGGGAAGAACTCGGTGCTGTGTCTGTGTACCTCTTTTTTACCTCAATATAGAAGTTGATTGTATTTGTCTAAGACTTCCAAATGGAATTTAAAACTCTGTTCTGAAATATTGCCCTTACTTTTGCAACAGGTTGCAATATAGTGTATACATAATTCCTGTAAGTTTGTCTATTCAAATAAGTTGTTTGTGGAAACTGCACAATGAAGTCAAGAGTTTTGGTGGCCATTGTTCAATCATGTTCCAATGGACAGTGACAGTAGTCATTAGAGGACACTACATCATCAGGGAGCTGGCAGTTCTGTACACTGGAAAATCACAACTTATTTTTAGGTGGACAATGGTGCTATTAATACTTTCTGTGTTTCCCAGGGTCCTGTTTGTATACAAACAAAATTCCACACTGTACAACTTTCATATGTTGCTGCTGTGTACAGTACAGTTGTTGTTAGTAGGTTGACTTTAGGTGGTTGGCCCTTAATACAAAGAATATATATATAAATATATTATGGGCTACAGTCAAAAGGATGTCGGGCTACTTATTAAAGAAACAGAACTGCATATTTAAAACAGTCAATCCAAAGCAGAATATATCAGGAATAATAGGATAGATAGATGTAGGTTTTCATAATGTTGCATAGACTTTAAGTTTAAGTCACTCTGTCATTTTTGATGATGGGCTGGCCATTTTCATAGCATTTTTAAATGATCTTTTTAACATTGATGAATCCTGTGAATATTACAAACTGCAAAACAACAGAAAGTGAAACATCAGAATCTCCTAACAGTCATTGGAATGCGGTACTGTATATTGTTTTCATTTTCAGTTTGTTTACGTTTATATGAATCAGATTGAACGTGTTGTGCTTCTTTCAAATCATTGCTTCTTGTAACATTTGTCACATGCAGACTTTTTTCTTTGTTGTGTTGTTTTCAGAACTGATGCATTGATATTTACTTCCCATTATGTCATTTAGGTTCTGATGAATGGTTTACTGTTTCAGAAAGTGTTACTCTGTTGTTTCAAGTAACTTTTCCCAGTTTTGTTAATGGGTGTTTAAGTATTTTTAAAAATGCAAAGCATTGTTTAAATATAAATGTACTCATTTACATTAGTTCTGTAAACACACCCTCATTGTGTCACAAAACTATGAGGTGAGCAGAAGAGCAGCAAACACAAGCAGAGGAAGGGGTTTGGGGAAATAATATTTTGGGCCCCTTTTTTAAAAATAAAGCAAGATTGCCTATGGTGAGATGGTCAAAACTGGGTTGATTTCAAACAGAATGGCCCATAGCTTTCTTCAGTACATCCTGTATTCCTCATCTATTTCCTAAAACTACAAAAAGTATTACAAGCAAACATGCCAGGGCTTTTGGACAGGAAATGTGAATGTTCCCTCTTATTAAGTTAAGTAGATTATTAACAGACCTTAAACACTAGTGATCCCTTGTTGGTTTTCCAGGACTCTTCGAGAGAAGACCTCTCTTGCAATGACGTCAAAAGGGCGGTATGGGCTGGATGAGGAGAAGGGACTGGTGAGCAGCTCCAGCCGGAGGCGCTCTGTTCCCAGGAGCCTAGGAGCCTTGACAACAGGAGCCAGCGAGTCCCTCATGGTTCAGGCCCTCAGGCTGGAGGAGCAGCAGAGAGCGAAGGAGGAGAGAAGGTAGGGGTCTGTCTCTAGAGGCCTGGGAGTCACTCACACATCATTGCTAGACAGAGCTAAAGAGCCATGGTGGAATCCTGTAGCCAATTCCAGTTAAAATCTGGAATTCCTGCTTTTCTCTTAATTGTACCTTGAGTTTAAAAGTGTTGCACAAAGCAGCTGAACATATTGACACCAGT